ACAAAATTAAAATCTTGAACAGAAACATTGTCCTTCAAACACAGCCTCTTGATACGCATTACCATCTAACCCCGTTGGGACTGTTTGGAGGGACCTCACCGTGAAATGTGGTGTTGTGGCCGGAAACCTGTGCAGAAATTGTGAGCAAACCTTCAATTTGATAGTCCTACGAGCTGTGCAGTTGTGGAATCATACTTATTTTACAAATGTGCATCAAGGGCTTGAAATGGGCGTGATTACTGGTTGTGCGTTCCAGTGGCTTGCATTGATCTTGATGTGATGGAGAGTGTGCGTGCGAGTTTTTTTCTTCTGAGAGAGCGCATTGTTTTGGTATTCTTTGAGTATGCTGACTCCCAATGCAATGTGATATATCGATATCTGTCTCTGTCTTTATGTTCGTTTTTGAACAGGACAAGATGGTGATGCTCGGAAGCTGAAAGAAACACTAGCACTTATGTTTCAGGGGTGTGCAAAGTCAATTTGATACTTTATTTTGACCTTGCCAACATTTTGAACCTATCGAAGCGATAAAGCATGTAATTAATCCGTTGCGCATCATTATAATAGCACTTCATTTTGGCAGAAGTGGCTGGTCTGCGCAGCTCATTAATGCATATGCTTGGCCTAAGCTTCTGTGATACAACTTTGCAAAATTGTCTTTCCCTTAAGAATTTGGCATTTTTTATGCAGGCAAGCTTTGCATCTGAGTGATCAATGTCAAAGTCACTGCAACTTTTGAGATGCTGGCTGCTGAGAAAGGTGGAAAGTATTGCTATTGGTGTCTTGGATAGCAGTTAATCATATTTCTATCATGAGCCTTGCTTGCATCAGCAGCTTAACCGCTTCCTTGCATTTCGCTGATCTAGCCATAATGCAGGTACTTGTCATGTATCCAGAGTTGTGCCAGGTCAGCATGTCTGCAGTGTCATTTCACATGTAATATTGTCTTGTTAAACATGTCTTATTACTTGTTCAAACAGTATTTCAAGTGAAGCGGCCTGATGGCTGCAGCATGTTGCATGGCTGTGAAAGCAGAAGATGTGTTTGCACCTTGTCACCCATGTTTTGTGGATTTCCAAAAAGGCTGAGCAATTGTGTCATTTATTGGTTGTGTGCTTTGCTGAATGCAAGTTGTATATTGCATCATGTCTTTTTGGTCAGTCGTATGTCAGATGCGGAGTTGGTACAATAATGCATGCTTGATCCACCTTTTCATAATGGAATTTGTTTTGAAAGCAGCAGGGATTGCAGTACAAAAACTATATCATTGTTCATTATGCCATGCCACAGTACAGCACTGAGGAAGTGCCACGATGATGCTGTTAACCCGTGCCATTACACAGTGTATCACATTGGTTGGCCACTCTATGTAAAGCCTATGAAGTAACAGCCCATAATTTATGAATAATTGGCAACAACTGATTTGACAATGACAGTGAGTATGCTGTTGTACCACAGCGGTAATATCAGGGTTCATGAGAAATTACGTGAATAATCGTAAGTAAAAAAAAAACTTTTTGTTAACCCAACCTTACCATCTTTACCGTAGAAATAATAATGTTTTAGCAATCAACTGGTAGCAATGTTACAGATTTATTCATTGTTGCATGCACTTGACTTTCCAGTTACAAATAATAAAGAAAGTAACTGAAGTGCACATCACATGATAGCAATGTCAGGACTACAGCACTGCAGGCAAGGATAAGTCGACAATACAGTGTTCACATCTCCAGCAGTCTTTGGCAGGTTTCGGAACGAAATTCATAAGTCTTCACAGCATATCGTGCTTTGATATTAATAATCTGCCCTAAAAGCTGGCGACCGCTATGTTGCGTATGTCAACCAATCCACCAAATCTTATCTTACAACCAGTATCAAGATAAAAAAATCCACAAACAAGCTATTCACTAATCCGCCACGCAACACAGCGCCCGCGACGGGCATGGCTTGTTGGCGTCAGCTTTCGTGTGTTTCGAGGTATTCTTTAGGTCTGGCTGCCAGATGCAGCCAGGCATTGCTGTCGTCACAAAACCATTCCATGACGCCACCAAACAATGACCTAGCGGGGCACATTTTTACAAACTTTGAAATTTTGCCACTTATGGTGGTTTTTGAGGCTTGAAAGCTTACCATGACCAACAAGCAAGCTTTTCCCGTCATATCTGATGCTTATCTCGTTGCGTATGTACACATTGCCCACGAAGGAATGGCGTGGTCCCAACTCTGCTCTGTTCCTGCTTGATCCTGAGCATCCGCCAGACCGTCCAACACAACTTTGAAAACAGAGCGTGCCACCACGCAAAGTTTTCGTGGTTGATCTAGTTGAATAAGGTTTATATTGCGGAGCTCGCTTATCCAATTTCAGCTCTGACGATGTAGCTACGCAAGCCACTGCGGTGCTGGGTGCACCGCCTCCGTCAAAACGGCCGCCGGCGTCCGCTCATGCGGAACATGACCTAAACCTTGACTGGACACCAGGCCGGCTGGGTCGGCTTGACAGCCAGTGGACAATTAGCTGACGGCTTGACAGCCAACAGACCGGCTGTCAACACGCCGCTCAAACGCTGATCGGTGCGGCGTAATCGGGCAGGGGCACCAGGGTCAGCACGGCCTGCGCCGGCTTTTACACAATGGGCACGACAGCACCATACACCCAGCTATGTATGGACCATGCCCCGACCACGGAGGATAGCGAAGAAGCGAACCACTCTCGCTGCCGCCTTGTAACCAGCGCGGCAACAGAGGTATCGCGATCCCACGAATAACTTGCACCGTTCAACATGCATGCCCTCCGGTACAGCATAGCCATTCGCGGCCACCAAAGGACGGCAAGATCGCTGATAACTAAGACAGTAGTAATAGCCTTATAGCTGTCCAGGTTGTTTCGAGGAATAAGGCAATTACTACTGTCTTATCTATGTGCATAATGTTTCTCGCAAATACACTTAACAACTTAACAGATAAAGTGCAAGTCTGTAATGCAACGTACCCGACGCAAAAGACGGAGCCACGCCCCATCGCGGAGGCAAATGGACAATAAGTTTGATACCCTTTGTGATTCTTATTTCTGAGTTAGCTTTGGGGAGCATGAAAGCTGTTTTGTGAGAGGCAGCATGAATATCAGAACAGAAAAAAACAGATGCTATTTATAGTGTTACCACTTTATTACGTCATTTATGATGTTACGTCTGACCTGTACGCCTTGGGTCCGACATCGTGCAACACATTTTACACAAATCGCACGATGTACGAATACCCGGGCACCAATATCCGATACTTTTGCAGCATGGGGCCGTGAACAGGAACTCATGCAACATCTCGACATTGGCGCCCAGTGTTTGTCGTCCAAAGAAAGGCAGACTTACCGGAGGGTACCCAGGCTCGATGGCTTGGAAGCCCGGTAAATACAGCGAAAGTCGAATGTAAACTGTTACGTGCATTTGCAAGGATTGTTATGCATATAGATAACACAGAAGAAATTGCCTTACTCCTCGCAGAAAACCAGGAGAGTGGAGATATAGATGCGGTGATATTTCGGCACCATGCCTTTATGGAAACGAATAGCAGAAGTAACTTTAAAATTGCCTGCCGATGATTCTACTTGATTTTCCAGGTTTTTTAACAGCGACCCATAGTTTTTACAGGTCACCAATATTCAAGGAGCAATTGCCAGGCATTTCCACAATACAGTGCACATCCAAGAAAGAATACGCGAAAAATGCGTGTGCATGCAAGCGGATTCAGCAAGTAGATATCACGTATCAGATATTACACACGATTAAAGTCAAACGTCGGGCATCACGCAAGTCTGGCATTATGGAATGATGCCGTTTGATCTATTTCGCGTCTCATTTCCCGCAGAGGCCATTAGCCCTAGAGTCTGGCGTTTGAGATCAGCAATACCCTTAGAGTCCCCAACCTAGCCTCCCTCGCTGTTCAGCTACGAAGCACACAGCGTGGTCGTCGTTTGTGACGTGAAGTGACGGGGGGGGGGGGACCTCCCCCATCAGAAAGGTCATTGCTTACACATCGCCATCTCCTGGACGGCACATGGGTGGAGGGACCTCATTAGATCGCGCTACGCCTGAGCATAACGCCGGGATGGGATCGTGTCCAGATGCTAATGACTACGGCCAACTGGGGCCATACTTTAACATTATTGCCGGACGGCAGCAGAATACGGCTGCTTTGGGTAATTCATGACCCGTCCGATGGCATTCAGCGTGGGAGTGAACAGCTCCAGCAACTGGACAGGGAGCGACAGCAAGACCGCGGACAGTCAATGGAATGCATTTGCCAGTTTCCATTCGTTCTTGGCAGAATCAAGTGCATTTATCATGTAAGGACATGCAATAAACAGCGTGTTTAACGACAATCTTTTTTATAAACAACGGCTTTACAACGTGTTAACTAATGATGAGAGTAATACCATAAAGCTAAAGAAAACCACTTAGCACGAAATAGAATGGTATTCTGTCTGCTCACGAAAATGGCGCAAAGGACGCCCGCAAATGGCGGTGCCATGAGGAACGGGGCCACGAGTGCAGGAATTTGCTACATTGGCAGGCAAAAATATGCCGTAGGTACTTCGCAAGTGTCGTTGCCATAATTCCGGAAGTAAAATGAGCGTCCTTGGCATCTTCACTATTGAATACCCAATTGTATTTCGGATTGTCTTTTCCCCAGTTCGTGGTTTGTCCTCAATACTGTGCGCGACCCTGCTGCACACGGGTGCGGTGGTCAGTCCCGCATGCCGAAGCTTTTACACGAATAGATTATAGATTGAATGGGGAGCGGTATAGAACATTTATACATTGAGCTGTCCATAATTCAAACCGATGTATGTGGTAATGGGAAGGTCTGCTGAATGTATGTGACATGATGCAACTAACGTAAATGTACGGCACCGGCCCTAAGGCCGGAGCTGTATCACTACCTGTATGCTTTTCTGTTAATGTACCCTCAGCATACTTTGATCTCTCTTCGGCGTCGTTTCGCAGACACATTCCGTTTGCAAGGAGCACCAGCAAACTTTCCAAGATCGAGACGCTGCGCATGGCGCGCAACTACATCTACGTGCTGGCGCAGACGCTCGCCACCGGCGAGCCGTTCGACCTGCCCAGCTACGCCTGCGTCATGGCCAGGGGACTCAGCCAGGCGACGGCCAACCAGATCAACGGCTCCCTCAACCTTCGGCCGCGCTCGATTAAGGTGAGCTAGCCGACGGTGCCGCGACCGAAGTCAAGCAAGGCCAGCTGCCGATCATGTGGTCAAGTGAGACCAGCTGACGGCAGCCCCGTTGTGGTAAGCCAGCTGGCGGTAGTGTGGTCCAGTGAAGCCAGCTGCCGACGATCCCGTCATGGCAAACCAGCTGGCGGTAATGTGGTCCGGTGACGCCAGCTGACGACGATCCCGCATGAAGTACCACGTGTTTACCAGTGCAAGTAAAATATGGAAAGAAAAAGCACTTATTCTATGTTCTCGTTTTACTAACATCGCACGATTTTCAGGGAACATCTGCATGCCATTCCTCCTGTTCAAGGGTGTGTTGCATATTTTTATGGGGTTTTGAACTGAAATAGCCACCTTGAAGACCTTTCGGTGCTGTTCACAATCCTGGTCTTCTTTTAAGACTGAAGTCGCTCTAGTTTCTGAGCTACACGCCAGCGAAAATACGAAAGGTATACCGGGGAGAGTATTTCAAAGTCGCCTCCGCACTCACGACTTCAAAATAACGTCATTCAGACCTTGACATTTCATTGTTCATGTGGGGATAAAGGCCAAGAAAAATATAATTGCCGAGTAGTTCAAATATGGTGTTCTTGAACGCGATTTCCAGTTATAATGACCGTCAATTGGCTCTTAATCTTTGTTGTGCCAGATAGGATGGCGTAATCAAACCATGACGCATTGAGTAGCATATCAACTAAAAAGTGAGTTGTACTCTCTAGAGCAGTCTTTTCCACTTAAAAAGTCTACCAACAGTCAGTAGTGAGCCTATACCAACACCAATGGTCGTATATGATATATATATATATATATATATATATATATATATATATATATATATATATATATATGCCAGCATTTATCAGTAAGCTTGTTTTATCATGCTTGCTGCGGCATTCGCGATGCTTCACATTTCGTTTTCGTTTCCTTTAATGAATCGCCTATTTTGGCAGATATTCACAGGGTCCTACTTAGCGTGGATCACCCCACCAGAACCAACTAACGCTCGTTCACTGCCACCAGCCTCTTCCCGAATACCCATTGGCCGATCGAAGGCGGATCGAGCATTTGATCTTAGAGTAAGTCATTCTCTAAAGGCCTTACTAGTTTTCCAAACACTAGACCCAGGGGAATAAAATCAGTGCTGCATTGCGGCGCTGAGTCATGGTCTCACTCAGCCGGCTCTCCCCGGGTGCGTTCCCGCGCCGGGCCCCCTCCACAACACTTTTAGCTAACATAGTGCGGTATTCCTCTTTTATTATGCATCCATGGCCCTGGATAAACATCAATGGTCATTTTGTGACAAGTTTACATGCATTGCAGTACATTTTAACATGTTTTTGTATTGTCTGACTTGGGCATGAATTTGCGAAGATGTAGGCGCTGGCAGGTAAACCGCAGGGACGAGCGTAGCATTCTCTTCAAACACTAGGCTTTATTCCTGGACCACATTTTAGCTCTGCAGGTATTTGTGACTTGGTAATGTCACATTTGTTCGCAATTTCGAGCACGGCAGCTTTGCCACGAGCTCTGCATGCATCCAGCACCCAAGTCCAGTGGAGATGGCTCACCGCGATCCGTACCGCATAGTTTCGCTCTGTACGCACCCAGCACCCAAGTCCAGTGGAGATGGGTTCACCCGCGATCCGTACCGCATAGTTTCGCTCTGTACGCACCCAGCACTCGAGTCCAGTGGAGATGGTTCACCGCGATCCGTACCGCATAGTTTCGCTCTGTACGCACCCAGCACCCAAGTCCAGTGGAGATGGCTCACCGCGATCCGTACCGCATAGTTTCGCTCTGTACGCACCCAGCACCCAAGTCCAGTGGAGATGGCTCACCGCGATCCGTGCCGGATAGTTTCGCTCTGTACGCACCCAGCACCCGAGTCCAGTGGAGATGGTTCACCGCGATCCGTACCGCATAGTTTCGCTCTGTACGCACCCAGCACCCGAGTGGCGTGGAGTTGGATCACTCCGACCCGTGCCGGGAATCTAACACTCCTTCGGTTAAGGAGACTGCCGGCCGTTGAAGGGAACGAGCTGGTCTCATGAGGAGGATGGGTTCATAGCTGGCTGTTGTTCGGAGAAGCTGGCTGTCGTTTGGTGGGGCGTCTTAGGCATGTCAAGACTAACTCTGGCTAGACTTTCTAACTTGGACGTGAATGACTCTGATCGGCTTCTCTGGTGGCGCCACTCGCCACCACTTGGGGGACCTGATCGATTCCACATCTGATGCTTTGAAGACAGGAGCTGGGTGGCAGTGCAATGGTTTACAACCTATCATTTGAAAGTTTTACACAGATTAGTTCCAGTATCTTTTCGTTTAACCTGGCAGGTGGTTTGAGGCAACTTCCAACCATGTTTTATTATATGCTTTTGTTACATAGAATGTTTCACGCTTTATTCTATGTGCTTTTGTACAAAGTTTCTACGTACTTTTGAATAAGACTGTAGTTTAGAGCGCATGCAAATCCATTTGTGTTTTGATTCATTTCCATGGGATAATGGCTAATCGAGGTCAGCCGCGGCTTCGTCTGACCTTCCATGCTACTGACCCCGGATGTACTGACTGGTACTGACCCCGAATGTACTGACTGGTACTGACCCCGGATGTACTGACTGGTACTGACCCCGGATGTACTGACTGGTACTGACCCCGGATGTACTGACTGGTACTGACCCCGGATGTACTGACTGGTACTGACCCCGGATGTACTGACTGGTACTGACCCGGATGTACTGACTGGTACTGACCCCGGATTTACTGACTGGTACTGACCCCGGATGTACTGACTGGTACTGACCCCGGATGTACTGACTGGTACTGACCCCGGATGTACTGACTGATACTGACCTCTGCAAGAGCGATAGTCATGTGCGGAGGCCTTGTTTTGCTGTGAAAGACCTAATATGGCAATTTGTGACCGGCTCTGAGTGCTTGACCTGTCGTGAACTACATTTCAAATGACCCTTGCCGACCCATGCCCTGGACTCGAGCCCAGGGCAGAGCATTAGTCGCTTGGTTCATGACGGAGTTGGTTTGAGGGAAATTCTGCGTAATTTTCCAAGCCTGACCTATAAATCCTTGACCCTCACGGATCCCCAAAGGTAATGACCATGGGTGACGTCCATGCCATAATACATCCACACGTTCGGGCCATCGGACAAAAAGTTCTGGTGAACAAAGGGCTGCATAGTTTTGAGTACGAGGTCATGGGTCACTGATCCGATGCTGCAGGTTCTAAAAGTATACAGGTAAGGTGTGTAAGGTCCTAAACTCGGTTAGACGAAAGGTTGGGTCCGGCGAACGTTGCAGGACAGTGCTTAGATTTTGTTTTCACTTGATGCCATCAGGTGTTCATGAACTATCAAGATGGTCACACAGTCACGCTGGAATTAAAGATAAACAGCATTGGGGTAAAAATAAACTCATAACTTTCCTCTATCATTCGATATAAGCGAAGAGAAAAGTGCATTGTGTCCGAGAATGTTCATATCGTGTCCATCATACTGTTATCGTTCATGATGTTTCCATGCATTTGGTGGAAGATTGGTGCCAACCGTCATGTCCATGCCAACCGTTTGTCACCTCCGATTAAAGGGACCATGCCACCTTTCTGCACTTTCCACTTATTGTTCTTTGCAAAGATCGAGCAAAGATATCATCAACGTGTACAACTATTGGTGTGCTTTTAAATGGAGAAGACTGCTGTAAGGAGCACAGTTTCTCTGTTTAGTTCATACGCTCTATGGTACTTAATACGTAATTGTTAGATCACGTCATCATACCCTGCAAAACATTTATTGTGAGTCAATTGACAACTGTTGTATCTAAAAATTGTATTCACGAAGGTCAGATATGAACGACTCGATTATTATAGTTTGCTTGGGCTTGATCGCCGCATGACCGATGGAATGACATAATTTTAATGACGCTATTATGGTGCCATGGATGCCTGGGTCACATTAAGCTAGTCTCCCCGAAATGGTCTGCACATTTTTGCGGACACACCGCTCAGAACCCAGAGAAGTTTAGGTCTTAAGAAGGACAGGGTTGTGAATTGTAATGAATTATCTTCAAGATGACTATTGTAGCTTAAAACCCAACACAAAAGAGGAACACTCCTTTTAAATAAGCTTTGACAACGAACCTGTAACAAGATTCAGCGTTCCAACTTTTGCGAATGCTCAACAAAACTTACAGCAATTGCCTGATAGTCAGACCATGGTGATCAGATAATTTTGCTTCACCTGGGGAGCTTGTTGTCCCAAAAGTACAGTCACCCTATCTGGGCAACCTAGTTGAACTTAAAGTTGCTGCGCCCATTTCTGCTTAGTCAAGGTACGCCCGCAAGTCCGCGCTATTCCAGGGTTCTGTCTTATTTGGAGGTACTGAAGATGATGGATCACCGTATCTGTACAAACGCTGCCAGAGGCAAGTAAGGCTATCCCTGGGAGACCCACGTTGGGGTTGTCCATTTGCTGTTCATCTTGATTTCTGTCGACAGCCGGGATATATGGCCTAGATAATAAAAGGCTCTTATGAGCCCAAGCAGTTTGGAATGAAACATCGAGATCATTCAATAGCTCTAAATCAAAAGCGCTGATCATAATGCCAGCGGCAGAGGCAGCGCAAATCAGTCCAGATGAGAAATGTTTTAACCATCTTCAGCTCCCGTCACCAGAAAACAGTGCATGCTTGTCTTATTTACGATTGGCACGTTATGAAATGCCTACCAATCATCAATCACCACTCGCTGTTCCTGTCTTAAGCTTAAGCCACTGAATCTTGATTCGTAACCAAACGGTAACACAAGTTGTATGAGACAACCAAAATATTTTTGTTTTGATAATGATTGGCAGTCACGCACTACAGCCAAGTCAGTCAGGACTTCCTGATAGCCCTACTAACACTAATGAAGGTTTACTGTTAATTGCTGATAGCAAGCTGTCACCTAGAGAAGGGCGCTTGGCAGCTGAAGCTGAAATCTGTTCGTTATTGCAGAGCAGCCGGTGTGTACAGTTTTCGTAAGGGTTTCGCTTTATTTTTCGTGCCTCCAACTCCCGTTGCCGATCCCCGCCGATGTGAGTTCGGGCTGTTGCTGTTAGAGTTATATCATACCAGTCTTGCCGGAGTAATACCATAGGTATAAATCTAGATGCCACACAAAGACCAAAATGCATGATAATTGTTTGATGACAAGTAAAATTTAAATAGAAAACTGATTCATCAATGCTCAAATAGTTAAGGTGAAGTGGCTGAATGTGTTGAGGAGAACAAAATCGATGAGAGTGTGGCGTAGTGCTATCGGCCCTTTCCCTCCAAACATTATACGCAATAACATTGCATCTAGATATCAGCAGGCCTCTTGAAAAGGCCCGGCTCAGTCTGATGATTCGGACTTATGTAATGTGGCGGTGTCTATTGTGGGACTGCAAGTTATTTGCTGTACACATGCATTGATGTAGCTGGTTACAGTTCATTCCATGTGCATGATTAACTGAAGGCACACAGGAACGAATCACACTAAGAAGCTGATAGAGTTCCCCCTATTTATCCAAATACAGGAAAAAATCCCTAAGTGAGGCATGCAATTCTTAAATTTTTCCCTTTGGCCGTATGCCGAACACCCGTCCGGAACAAGCCGAACGATTTCCCCCAAAACAGTTTAATTCTACACAAAGATTGGGGTGTTCTTGTATCAACACTGCTCGATCTGTAATGATGGTTTTCCTACCCCGGTGTGTAAGGATGCACTGAGCAACCGCATCGGCATCACGGCTCACAATGCCTGCTAATGTTTCAGTTATTGGGGTCACCCTGAAATGACGACAGCGTTGCAACCAAAAGCTAGCTTTTCTGTTGTTCAGGTGCGCGGTAGCTGGTAGAGTCAGGAGGGCTGAGATCCGCAACTCTGAAAATTCAACAACGGCCCTGGGCGTTGAATTGAAAGAAAAATCAAAAATGACTGCTGGGCTCCAAAACTGTCAGAACTGTTATTGCTCCGCCCCTCCGACGTTAACGAAAGGTGAACACCTCTATAAAATCTGAGAATTTTCACTCATGTTCTCTTGGTTGTAAAATTTGCAGCTCCCATCAAGCAAAACAAAACTGCCTGACAAGATAAGCGAATTACAACATGCTCTCTGCCTGCTATTGTAGCATCGCCCCTCGTAATGGATCCCCCGCTTGGATCAGACCCATCTGTAGCAAAACTTTGTGTTCGTCTCACGAAGGAGAGTACATACATTCAAGGAGCAACCAACTTACGTGATACTCTTACCGAACAAGTGGGCTCTTTGGCTATTTGACAATCTCGATTCCAAAATATAGCGACCGAAGCACTTGCGTGTTTTTAAGATTTCAGCTCAACTAATACCTATTTACGCATGCAACACTCTGGCTTTTGTTAAAAATCCTGTGCCCTACGGCGCGAAGGCTCCATCCGTTTCGATTAAGATAACCTTAAGCCTTCGTCGTGTCTTTCAAAACATTTTGCTGATCCTGTGGTCACTAAACATTCCTCCCCTTCCATTCCCTTCTCTTCCCTCCCCTCCCCTCCCCTCCCCTCTCCTCCCCTACCGTCCCCTCCCCTCCTTTCCACTCCCTTCCATTCCCTTCTTTCCCTTTCCCTACCTTCCCTTTCCTTACCTTCCCTTTCCTTCCTTCCCTTCCCTTCCTTCCCCTCCCCTTCCCTCTCCTCCCCTCCCCTCCCCTCCCCTCCCCTCCCCTCCCCTCCCCTCCCCTCCCCTCCCCTCCCCTCCGCTCCCCTTCCCTTCCTTCCCCTTCCCTTCCCTTTCCTTCCTTTCCCTTCCCTTTCCTCCTGGATGAGCCACTGGAGCGTATTCCAGTGAGCAGTATGCTAATCCATTCAAGGGTTCAGCACCGGAGTGCCACACTAATCTCTGGCAAATATCTGAAGCGAGCCGCTATATGACAGGATAGTTATTGGGTCATTGGGATCGGGTCATCAATGGGTCATTGGGACATCACGGTCACGACTCTTTACGTTTCGAATCTTCAACAATAATTTGGGGTTTTCCTTGATAAGCTTTGTAGTTTAAAGGCATAATATATAAATACCTGTAGATTAATGCCTATAAATAGCTATTTAAATACTTGTAAATACCTATAACTTGCCCATTTTTAATTTTTGCCAGTTGAGAAAGCATTGTGTTGGCGAAAAACTGGCATTTGGCTAAGGCTAGGGTTAATCTGGAAATTCCCGCTGAGTTCTTCAAACTGATAATAAGATTTTGATGAGGCGTGGAACTAACGCCAGATCTTAGTGGCGGCCATATTGCGAATACCGCAGCGGAGCTTGCATAACTGCTTTAAGATGCGGCTAGTGAGAGCAAGAGAGCAAGAGCACGAGCGAGAGCGAGCGCAAGATGGAGAGGGAGAGAAAGAAAGAGAGGGAGAGAGAGAGAGAGAGAGAGAGGAGAGAGAGAGAGAGAGAGAGAGAGAGAGAGAGAGAGAGAGAGAGATAGAGAGAGAGAGAGATAGAGAGGAGAGGAGAGAGAGAGAGAGAGAGAGAGAGAGAGAGAGAGAGAGAGAGAGAGAGAGAGAGAGAGAGAGAGAGAGAGAGAGAGAGGAGAGGAGAGAGAGGGAGGAGAGAGAGAGAGAGAGAGAGAGAGAGAGGAGAGAGAGAGAGGAGAGGAGAGGAGAGAGAGGAGAGAGAGGAGAGAGAGAGAGAGAGAGAGAGAGAGAAGAGAGAGAGGAGAGAGAGAGAGAGAGAGAGAGAGAGAGAGAGAGAGAGAGAGAGAGAGAGAGAGAGAGAGAGAGAGAGAGAGAGATTTTCACTGCAGCCCCCATTGATCCTCATCCCGTGCAGTCGTTCGCGTGGTCTTGCGTGAGAGCGCTCGGATCCTTCCTAACCGTGCTCATTTCTCAGCCGTTCATCCCAGCCGAGCTGGGGCGACAGCGAGAGCCGCGTGCACGTGCTCGCTGCAGGCGATTCAATTTCTGGCGACCAGCTGAGCCGCAGACGACGCGAGCATGTGACAAACCGTCCAATCTGTCGGCTAATGACGCTACAGGCGATGATATTTCGCCGGTGGCCGGCTGTGCGGCCGGGCTTCTCCTTTCTTGGAGCGGGGGGAGGCAGAGGGTTCGTGCCATACGCGCAGCGCGCCGATGGCGGACGGCCGGGCCTGTTTGGAATTCAGTGCCCGTCGCACAATCGTCGGCTTGAAGGGAGCTGCACGCGTCTGTTCCACCGCGTGCCGTATGCTCCATCGTCTGCTCCGCCGTTTAACGTTCAGGCCAGGGAAGATCCGGACGGCCGATTGTCATTGATGCGAGCACCGAGTCGGAAATGGAAGGGTTTGGGCTGTCGGCGACCTGATTCCAATTGACGAGATTGTTGGAGGTATTTGGGGATGTGAGGACGCATTGGCAATCAGTAAATGGGATTTGCCTGGCTGCCGCTGCCAGGGCATATAATTCTCCCTAAGAAGTGGTATAGGCGTCATCTAGCCTCATATAAGATGACAAGATCAGCGGTTTTGTGGTCTCTGTGCCAATATATGTGGGTGAGAGTTCTTTGTCTTCAAAACAGCTTTTTTATTGAATACGCCACGCTGCAATCTTCATTTAAAGGGAGTAAACCAGACAAAATATTTGAAATGGGACATGTAGACATGCTTCCATGATCCATGTGCTTTCTTTAATTTGCGCAGGCAGTCCCGCCTAGTGCTGTAGGCATTTTGCAACGCTTTGCCTCGTCATTAGACCTAAAGGAACGAGATCGTGACGGTGGCGTTTCCATTACGCCATTTCTAAGGCTACGGCGTTACGGCGTTATGACCTAAGCCGAGGCCCAAGGGCGCCAATATTTCGGTTGCGCAAAAAATGCTGGGATCAAGAGGTGATGTTTGCAGCGTAATTTTTTCTCGTTCAAGGTAAATAATATAGAAACAAATGAGCAAAGAATGCAGGGATTTGAAAACAAACGTCAAAACAAGATAACTAGTTGTATCGAAACTGACGGGCCATGTTCTGTCCTGTTGTTTGTCTTGTCTAAGCCTTTCAGAACAGATTGTGCTGCACCAGGCCAATTAAATACCGCAGCCAGGTTTACAGCAGTTTGTTGCGGATCTGCCCGTTGCCGTGTTCACTACGGCATGGCAAGGAACGCTCAGCTATCAATATCACGTGACCTCCTCCACGGACCAGCTGCTGGGGTCTGATGACCACAATTATTGTGCGTTCAGTCTGTCTTGATGCTATTCTAGCTGAAAGGAAGAGCAAGAAGTGGTGGCCCCGGCCAAACGTGACTGCTGTTCGGATGCTATCGCCCCAGCTGTGGCGGTGGGGTGACGCCCGCCGCCCACGTTCCTCGCCCTCGTTGACAGCTGCTACCCCCGCTGGAGCCGTTCAGGCGAGCGCCGTACGTCTCTGTGCCGACGCCGGCCGGCCCGCAGACGTCACCGCTGGACGACCACGTGTTGCCGGAGCCGTGGTCAGCCGGCGACCAGCTGGCTGGGTTCCCGGAAGCTGCTGCCGTCAGCTTTTAGCCGAGGCTCTCTAGCTAATGCCGATTGAAGCTGGCATCTTTTCCGGCGCTGTTCTGTCGACTTCTTTGTGATCGTCGTGCTGTGCGTTTGAAGAAGTTCAAAAACAATCATGTTTAAAACCAAAGCTGAACAGATTCAAATGGATTGAATGTGTCGAAAACTAGCATTGAACAAATCGTGCTTTGTGTCGCATATGAGAGCAAGCTGTAAATCCTAGTGACGCTCACCAGAAATCACAGTGAAAGTCCAGAGGAAGATCGAATGGAAAACCTGGCTATAAATCATTTCGAGTTTGCAAACGCAATCACCCTGGCGAAAAAGGCTGAACATAAAACAAAGCGCTTTGCATACAGATGTGAGCGAACCTGTTATCCTCGCCGGCTGCGATGCCCGAGAGGCCGCATCCAATTGTCCGAACCAAGGCGAATCAATACATGGTTGTGTCGTTACTGTGTCGGTGGTGCGGATGACGTCACCAGGGGTAGCATCCGCTGATCCCTGGGGCGGATGATGTCACCAGGGGTAATATCCGCTGATCCCTGGAGCGGATGACGTCACCAGGGGTAGCATCCGCTGATCCCTGGGGCGGATGACGTCACCAGGGGTAATATCCGCCTGATCCCTGTGGCGGATGACGTCACAATGGGTAGCATCCGCTGATCCCTGGGTCGGATGACGTCACCAGGGGTAATATCCGCTGATCCCTGGAGCGGATGACGTCACCAGGGGTAGCATCCGCTGATCCCTGGGGCGGATGATGTCACCAGGGGTAGCATCCGCTGATATCTGGGGCGGATGATGTCACCAGGGGTAACATCCGCTGATCCCTGGGCAACATCGGCAGGGCATTGGTGAAGAGAACCGGTATATCGGGATACCCTAAAGCGTCCCTTTTTGCTCATGAAGCTCAAGTCAGTCACATGCCAAGAGAACGCCTGGCAGGACATGGAACAGCAGAGCAGTTGTTCCAGCTGCACGGAACGCTATTGTGCCAGCTGAGCCACGTGCCGAGAGACCACACGACCGTCATTCCGTGAGAAGCCGTGTTCCCAGCGCCAAACCCGCTCTGCGGTTGGTCGGCTGTACGTCGGCAGCCGCTGACGGCCGTCCGGGCTGCCGCCGCACCTCAGCAGCGGCCGTGACGTGCTGTGACGCCGCCGGGGTCCGGCGCCTTGAATCATTAATGCCCGTTGTCGGCCATCAGCCTCCCAGCCATCTCGCTAATGTATCGGCTGATGGGGCGCCGGAGTCAGCGCGCCGGCCCGCCGGGCGCCCAGCGCAGCACGCGCCCGAGTCAGCGCGTCGGCCCGCCGGGCGCCCAGCGCAGCGCGCGATGGCGGACGGGCGCGCCGGAGTCAGCCGAGTCCACTACCCCGCTCCGGAGACCCCGGCAGGCCGTGTGGTCCGGCTCGCCACCAAATGCACGCGCGCGATGTCGTGGAAGTTACCAAGTAAATCAGTTCCAAAAGTACTGGAACTTGTTCTTTCCATAACATGCCCGTACCTTTACTCACGCACTCACCCACATCAGGACGTGCAGCTGGGCCCGTAACCTTACCTGAAAAGGCCGCTGGGGGGTGGCTGCTGTAGCTCACAAATTAGAAACGGCGTTCCGCGGGTCACCAGCGGCCGAACTGTGACGCGCGATGTCAGAGCCGGCTCGGGTTCAACCGCCACCGCGCCTGTCAGCAGTGCCACACAGCCGTAACAGCGTCACACAGCCGTAACAGCGAGCCCAGTGGGCCGGACAGATGACCAAGACTGATGAACAAACGTGCACATTCAGCCACGAGACCAGCTCGGAAGTTAACCCCGACTGCTTCAGCTGTCTGACCGGATCGCCAAATGCAGTCTCTACTGGGCCAGGGTGGGCCGATCTGGCACACGGCAGCTGGACAGAGAGGGCCTTCTTGGCGCAGGTGACCTTGTCGAGGCAAACAAAGATAGGTTTAAGGTTATTCAGCGCAGTGCATGTGCACGGCATATCACTATGTTAGTCATGAAACAAGTGACATCGACGTTATAAAATGGAATGTCTCACACATTCAGAATTTGCTCTTCTTAAACTTTCGCCATTTCCCATGATTGCATGCAAAGTCCAAACAAGTTTAGAATAGTCAAACTCTGGAAGCTAGAGGCTATACATCTTGTGTTCTGCCATTTTAAGCTTTGCATGCAATCAGCGGAGGTGCCTGAACATTTCATCTTTTGAGACATTATAAACGTTTTCAAACCGCAAAGTCGGTAAGGCCCTTGTTTCATTACAAGCAGAAAAATATAATGTTGCTGTCCTGTCTGGCAGCTACACCGGTGGCAAACCGATCCACTAAAGTCCCTCTTTATGTGTGTCGTGTTTAGCGCGTAGTCACGGAGTATTGTATAGCATGCGCCGTACAGCTCAGACTACCCCTACAGACCAGTGTACAAACCGGAAGAAGAAATAATAACGGTGATTGGATAAGCAGCTTAGAAAAATAATCAAACCGGTTCCAACACTTTCCGAATCTCCCCGCATTCACATATGAGGGCCCTATGACACGGTATGTAAGAAAGTTGACGAATGTGGATCAGTTTGGGCTGTGGGGATGAAATCTGAGTAGAAGGCAGAGCGTGATCTGCACACACGTCCACATGACAGTGTTGCTATTTTAGTCATGCTGGCCAAATTGGTGTGAAGTTAGTCTAACAAGTTCAGTATTCTTAACATAGCATTCTTTGACACAAAGCAGGATCGTTATATGACATACTACTTGATATTTCATATGACACCAGCCAGGATCGTATTTCCCTATGCATTTGGGAGCTCAAGCCTCTCCCCTACAACGCTGAGAAAAACGTGGGTCAAATCAGAGGAAAACCTTTTTTTTTGTATTTTGCAAGGATTTTGAGCCATTTTTTCCTCTTAAGCAGTTTTCAAAGGTTTTAACATTTTTCCCTTTTAAAATCGCTTGGGGCAGATCAGAGGCTAAGTATAATTGGCCAAATCTACCCTAAATCTTGATTTATCCCCGGATTTCGGCCACTTTGATTTGTGTTTATAGGGCCAAAATCAAAATTCAACAACAAAAAATTTGTTTGTTCCAAAAGCGTAGTTATGCTGCTGAATTACTTTGCACTCAAAGACAATGTGATAGTGATACTGATAATGTTGGCAGCGATGAGTTCAAGTATCTAATAGACACCAGCGATTCAGACACCGCTGCATTTCATTAACCCAGTATTCTCTAATTTGCTCCTATGCATTGGGGGGCGCAATGGCGTTGAGAGGGCTCAAGTCAGCATCGGGGAGGGGCTCAGGTTCCCCAAAGTTACACAAAATAATATCCCTGCTCATCCCTCGCCTTCTCCCATGCAACTTAAATTTAACCAACCGTCATCCATTTATGGCAAATCGTCAAAGTATTCTTAGACTTACGTATACTTGATGAAGCGCATACATCGTGCGTGTGTTCTGGCACAAACGAAGACCGAAACATGCAGGCTACTCGATACAACAAAACGTTGACTACAGTCACACATTTGTTCCAGACAACTAAGGCTTTATTACTGGTGAGCTCAGTGGGTCAGATCACCAGGTCAAATGGAATGCGCTGAGCGCGAATGCCTGCGATGAGACGCGCAGCTGGAGGGTTCTGCCGTGCCTCGATTACAGGTTGTGGCCTGCCTATTCAAAAGCGCGCGGTGTGCACCCTCCGCATCGCGTCAGCCACGAACCAGTCTCACCTGCGGACGGCTGCAGCAGACCGGTGAAGGTCAGCAGCAGGGCGGGCCAGGTGAGACACATCGGAGGGCAGCGGGACCTCATCGCCAGCTGGCGCCGGACACGCCACCTGCTGGGCACGTTCGCTGTCTTTGAAACGCATCCATGATTCTAAAGATGTAATCATGGATCTCGTCTGACATATGTATGGCGTCCAGCGAGTGTGACTTGATGACAAGAACAATGTCAAGTTTTCAACGCAGGTGACTGGCTCCGCTTCCCGCGCCGTGCACTAAAATCAATATTTTGGGGGGATCCAATACCTTGCATACCCATCGGGCAATGCCAGTATGGTGTTAGAACACTGGCTCTTGTATTTCTCGCTTGCTTCAACATCGTTCATCAAAATCAATCGATCGTCGTGCGTCTTTGTAGCCTCTACCAGGTGGCCATTCTGGCTATGCGTTAAATCTATCAGACGTACTCACACGCATATGCACACGCAAACACATGCATCTTGACAATAAAACACTAAAGCACATGACATAAGCCATAGAACACTAAAGCACTGTTCACGTTCGTGTGCTGGAGTGATCGCCGAGCTCGCCGCGTACAGGCACTCGAGCCCGCCGACTCCCGCAACTCTGCAGGAAGCCTGTAAAAACACTAGGAATCCACCCCAGAATAGAGACCGGCACTGAAGACTCATTCCATAACATCCCTGCCTGGTAGCTCGGCTCATTCATTGCGCCGAGTACGTAACCCGGAACTCAGATAAATTTTCTCCAGTTTGCAGAGCTTTGGCTCAGTGGCGCGAACGATGAAACGCTATGGTTTGGCTCAGTGGTGCGAGCGATGAAACGCTATGGTTTGGCCCAGTGGTGCGAGCGATGAAACGCTATGGTTTGGCTCAGTGGTGCGAGCGATGGAACGCTACGGATGGGTGTCGGCAGGGAGTTTCCGAGCACAGCGTCTTGTCAGCGGCGATCCCGAGCGCTGACAAACTTGGAGCACCGCCAACGCCAAACAGGCCATCAATCTAGATAAAATGATATCGCAACAGCACGGAATGCAAGCAAGTAGGCTGATCAACGTCTAGATCACAGCAATGCAACGATTGCTGTGGCCTGTTGTGGCCTGTAGACACATTTTTGTTTGAACTGTGAGTACCATATGTCAAGTTGGTACGAAATAATCAAAGTAGTAGGACACAGAAAGCGACATTTTCCTTTTGCCGCCACTTTCGCCTGTTTACTGAACACAGAGCTCCGGCTGCAGTTATGTTTTCCAAACCACCCAAAATGCGATAGATAGATGCAGATTGCAAACACCTTTGACCCCTACGCAAAATCTTAAGCACCCGTAACCCATGCAGCTACCGCTTTTGTCCACGCAAACCCGAATTAGGAAACCATAACGACAATAAAGGAATGACGAAATGGGTGTCAAGGGTATGGGTTTATGGCTGTTATGAACCTCCCATGTCTGTTACCTCCAGCCCAATCATGAAAAAAGGTAAACTTCTTTCCCCTCTGAAGCAGGGTACATACAGTAGACATGGCGTGGCATATGCTACTCGAGGCATGCATGGTGTGCCTCAGACGCAGGCCTGTGCGTGTGGAGCATACCTATGTGCCGACCCGTGATGCCAGCCAAATACTGCTTCCCAGCGTTCCCTCTAAAAAAAACAGTTGTTACGCCAGCCAAATATGTACATTG